CCAGGCTGAAAGTGGCCGCATCCTCGGAGTGCAGTGGCCATGGACAGAGCCGTGGCGGTGGGGGCTGTGTGCTGTTCTGTTCCTTAGAGCAGTCACATGAGTTAGGGACCCCTTGGAGATCTAACACAGGGAAAGGGATTTCTGAATTCTCATGCGTTCTACTTCATGGGGCTTCCCAGAGATTGGATTTTGTACAGACTGAAGGTTTGGGGCGCAGGGGGCCATTTTTCCAACAGCATTTGCTCACGTTGTGTCTCTGTGTCACTGTTACATCTTGTCAGTTCTCGTAATATTCCTTACTTTTTCATCACTAGTTACTTTAATTTGTGATCTGTGATGTTTCGGGATGCCATGAGCCATCCACATGTAAGGTGAGGAGCTTAATACGTGCTGTGTGTGTGGTGACCGCCCCAGGGCCCCGGCTGGTCCCTGTGCCAACCCCTCCCAACCTTCATCATGACACATGCGGTCTTGACGGTAGGCCAGTGAGTGGCCCTGCTGTGGCCTCTAAGTGTTCAAGTGAAGGGAAGAGTCACATGTCTGTCCCTTGAAGTCAAAGGCTAGAAAATGATGAAGCCACTAGAGTGCTGTTGTGAATGCAAAGGAACGTTCTTGAAGGAAATGAAAAGTGCTACTCCAGTGAGCACACAAATAAAGGAAACCAAGCAGCCTTATTGCTGATGGGGAGAAAGTTTTAGTCGTCTGGATAGAAGGTCAGACCAGTCGCCACATTCCTGTACACCAGAAGCTGGTCCAGAGCAAGGCCCTGACTCCGTTCAGTTCTGTGGAGGCCGAGGGAGGTGTGGGAAGCTACAGAAGACAGGTTGGGAGCTGGAGGAAGTCAGTTTGTGAGGCTTCAGGAACGTGAACTTGTGGGTGAAGCAGCAAGTGAGCCCGAAGTCGCTGCCGAGATCACAGCACATTTCAACATCGACAGCACAGCCTTCTTCGGGAGGAAGGTGCCTTCTAGGACTTCCGCAGCTGCAGAGGAGAAGTCGGTGCCTGACTTCAGAGCACAGGCTGACTCTGGATCAAGGCTCATGCAGCTGCCCGGTCCCAAAATTCTGCGGGCCTCCGCACAGAGGACACTCGGTCAGCTCCGCCTGCGCCCTCGAAGTGGGACAGCAAAGCCCGCGCGAGGCCACAGCTGTTGACACCGGGGTGCACGGAGTCTCTTAAGGCCACCGGGAAAACCTCCTGCTGCATGAGAAGGTTCCGTGGCAAATGCTACCGCTCGTGCACAGGGCACTGGGTCACCCCAGAGTTCCGAGGTACACGAACCGTGAGGGGACTCTCGCTCTCGGGCCTGCAGCCGTGGATCCAGGCGTCGCTCTGACTTTCGGGTCTTACCACAGAAGAAACGGGTTTTGTAGAGCGGCAGCTGCCGTGGGTGGTGGCTCCTCTCGCGGGTCTGGGCGGAGGAAGGGGAAGGGATTCCCCGTTCTTGATGCAGTAAAGAGCGTCGTGGCTCACGAGCCATCAGATGTACAGCAGAGCAGCGGCCCGGGCGGGACTTAGTGGCGATGTCGGTTCCCACCCTCGGGGAGACTCGGAGGGGTCAGGAGCTCGGGGCGGGACGCGGCTGCAGACGGGGTGGACACAGCGAGGGCGCTCGAGTCAGACGCAGGGCCTGGACACGGACCGGGCGGCAGCCGTCTCGTGAGCAAACTCGGAGGAGAGGAGGTGCTGCTCGGGGCTGGGCAGAGACGGTGGATTCTCGGGCTGGAACCTCCCGGGGAAGGCGCCGCGAAGATGGTTGAAACGGCAGCAGAGGGCTCAGTGTCACGTCGGCTCTGCTGATGGAGCCGCGCCGGGTCTGAGCGGGGGGGACCCCCGTCTGGAAAGAAGTTCTCCTGCGGCAGAAGGCGCTCGGCCGGCCTCCGGGGCTGCAGGAAGGAACTCGATCCTGACGGGAGAGCGGATCCGCGCAGCCACTGCCTGGTTGTCTTGGGAGCTCGCTGCGGCCGCCCGGCCTTCTGCAGCCGGCAGCCCGGCCCAGAGGCGCCCTCAGCACTGCGGGGAGACCCCCGCCCGCCCGGAGCTCAGGACCCACAGCCAGCGCAGATGGTGTCAGCAAGTTTAGCAATGAAGTATTTTCAAATTAAGGTATGTACGTTATTATTTTTTTTTAAGATATAATGCTAATTCACACTTAACAGTGTAGTGTCAACATGATTTTTAAGTGCACTGGGAAACCAAAAAATTCATTTGAGTCACTTTATTCTAGTCGTCTGGAGCCAAAGCCACAACATCTCAGAGCTCTGCCTTTACAGTAAGGTGTATGAAGCCATTAAAAGGAAAAAGATCTATGTGTCATGTCAAGAAGAGATGCCGTTATCTGTTAGGTGATGAAAGCAGGTGTGGGGCAGGTGGAGTCTGGCCTCAGTGGGTGTGAGTGTCTTACAGCAGCAGAGGCGCAGAAGAGGAGTCCGGGACATAGCACAAAACTGAAGCTCTTTCGCTTTCCCCTGGGGAGCAGGTCAAAAAAATGGACGCTTTTTCCATTCTGCGTTTCCGTAGTTTTTAACATTTCAAAAAAACTATGAAAGTGAATATGTTTATGAACAAAAAGTTTAATAAACAGAAGGCACTGGGTTTAATAACATGTCATTTGTTACTATTCATAAACATGTTAATGGAAAATCGCGTACGTACTACATGATTTTAAGCTTATTTATAGAAAGCTCCGACTCCTGCCTGGCAGGGCCTTCATACTGAGCATGTCCTCAGCCCTGCCGGCCCGTGCATGCGAGCATGAGGGACCGCGCCGCCAGGAGGACACGCATGTGCACGGGCGATGGCGGCCTACGCGGTAGCTGTCGTCACAGAGCAGGAGAGAGAACTCGGGGAAGGCTGGCTCGAAGAGCTGACCTGTGAGCTGCTTGCAGGACGAATGTGAGTTGGTAAGGGTTAGGGTCAGGGGATGTCTGTGTAAGAGGAGCAGGAGATGCGAAGGGGTGGCTTGCCTTTGTGCTGAGTTGGGGGAACATGGGATCAGGTTAGGGTTAGGGTTAAGAAATGAGCCCAGCAGGCATTTCCCTTTTGATGGTCGAGAGGAAAGGAACTGCTTTTGCAAGGAACAGTTTGCATAGAGGAGTTGATGACATGGTGTTTTAAGAAGAAAGTCCTGGTGGCTGTCTGGGAGGGGATGGTGGGATGAGGGGAGGTGATGAGCAGTCCGGTGCCAGGGAAGGACACTTGGTCGTGGCTAAGAAAGGGGAGCTATGACCCATGCTGGTGGAGTCCCTAGAGGCGCCCTGGGACGGGGAGGTCAGAGAGCGCGTGAGTGTCATCTGGAGCACGGGCTTGTGCTTTGCGTTCAGAACACGACTTCGGGCTCTGCCTCAGGCGGCCAAGGGGGCGGCTGGACCAGGAGAAGAGGCAGGTGTGGAGGCGGTGCCGGGCCGTGGCGGCCTCGGAGAGGGAGGTGTACAGAGCCGTCCCACGACTCTTCCGACTGGTTCGTCGTCATGGTGTGCTGGGCGCTTGGAATGGCAGCTTCCCGGTGTAAGGTCGTCCCAGGCACTCGTACTGTGTCCTGGAGGTCCTGTCTTCCTGAAGTGAAGCATCTCTAGTGACAGCGAACACTACCGAAAGCCGTTCCATCTCTGTGCGTTAAACGGGTTTGCGTCCCACTCACTGTTAATAAATGTGGGGTCCTTCTGGCCAATTCGTTTGTACTGTGGACCGAGCTGCCCAAGGAGGACAGCAGGAGGGGCTTCCCTGGGCCCCACGAGCCGTGCGGGGCCCTCCAGTTGCATGTGTCTGTGTCCTGACAAGATTGTGCCCCTGTCGCGGCAGGCCTTTGCCAGTGGCATAGCAGCAGATTGGTCCATTTCTGCAACAAAGGGAAGTGGCCTGGAATGAGGGCTTTGGGTCCCGTGGGCCTTTGTGACTGTTTTGTTCCAGCAGGGTTCCTCAACGCCCCCCGGAAGGCTGGCTTGGACTGCCAGTTGAGGAGTCAGGACCCCGGGCCAGTTTTACGTAGGCAGCGCCCTTCGTGCCTGGTCTTGGGGTGGGCGATGGCTGAGAAGAAGCCTCGTGGCTCAGGGACCTGGCTGCCAGGTCTCAGGGCCTCTGACCCAGACCGCGCGGCATTGGACCACACGGAGCCCCTGTGTGCCAGTATCTCGTTAGAGTGGAGCGATGGCCACCACAGAGGTCGCCAGCGGGTTACATGAGTTGCTGCACGTCACCTCCAGCCAGGGTCCAGGCCCCCGGAGGCGCTCAGGTCGTGTGGATCCACAGATGGGAAAAGTCTGGGCACTCCCTCGAATCGTCTGTGTTCTTCCGTCCTGCCTCGCGGTGGTGTTTCCTCACCTGCGGCTTTGAGGCTGTGTCCTCCTTCCGTTGACCGCTCCAGTGCCCACCCTGCCCTCCTGGAGCCCGGGATGGACTTAGCGCTCAGCCACCACCTGCCCTCCTCGCCGCTTTCAGTCTGCCTGAAAATAAGCGTTTCCTGGAGTAGAGTTTCCTCTGTGGTAGTTTTCTCGCTGAGAGCCAGTCTTGTAAGTCGTGGAAGTAAATGGATCTTGGCAAACTCAGCTGAAGTGTGCTTTACATGAAACCGAATGTGTGTGACGCTTCAGATGTGCCAAGCACGCTGCATGTCCTTCTCATTGAAGAGCCTTGACGTCTGTAGGAAGGCATCATCCCCAAAATTACTTGGCGGGGGGGGGGGGGCTCCCTGAGCCGTGGCACCGAATGTGGTGTATTAACAGTGATGATGATTGTTTGGGTCATGACTTCCGAAAGGATGTTTCATGACTCTGGTTTCCTGTCTGTGTCTCTGGAGATACAGATTTTATGAATTAGTGGTTTCTTTGGCGAGGTGGAGAAGAATCAGGTATGTAGGTTTTCTTTTCTTCTCTGAACACATGCTTCATTCTGTCTTGATAAGTTTTGCCAATACCTGTTTTCTTTATAAAGTAGCGCCCTTCCCACTTGTTTTAGTCGCACCACGTAAAAACCAACCATGATTGTCTTTTCTGTACTTATAGGTCCTCTTCCGGATGGATGGGAACAAGCCATGACTCAGGACGGAGAGATATACTATATAAACCATAAGAACAAGACCACCTCTTGGCTAGACCCAAGGCTTGATCCTCGTTTTGGTAAAGGTTCATTTCAAAACGTTTTTAGACATTTTTTGATAACGTGTGTGTGTGTGTGTGTGAGAGAGAGAGAGACACCCACCCTGGGAAGGTACACGGAAATAAAATTGCATTGCTTTACAGTATTAAACACATGACTGCCCACCCAGCTTCTCCAGGACTTTATACCTTTCCCTCTGCCCTGGAGGGAGAAATGCAGATGTAAATGAGCTTTGTAGCTTGGACCCCTCGGGGTCGGGTTGGGGGAAAGTTGTGGTGGCGTACTGACCAGAGTTGCTGTTCCTTTCACATTTTTGGAAGACATTGTGATCTTGCTTAAAGTGGTCTTTCTCGCTGCACTGATCATCGGGCTGTCAGCTGCTGGGGAACCTGGGGCACCAGCTTTGGTCCATGCCCCTGTGTGTGCTTCTGCTCGACTTAAGAGGACGGTCAGCCCTGAGCCCGTCCAGTGCTGGGCGCTGCTGTGTTTGCTGCCTCCGCTGGGAAGGGGGTGTCACATCTCTCCCTTCTCTCCTCACTTTGGCTTGCCTTTTTTGTTTGTTTGTTTTTTTAAAGGAAAGGTCCTTAGTTTGTTTTTTTTTTTTTAGGAAACAAAAAGCAAAAGCAAAGCACTTTCCCCTCCAAATTACAGGACTAACTCAGCATTTGCACAAGCGAATACTCTCCACAAAAGTACACGTTTTGATCATCGTACACAAGCTCCGTGTGCCTTTTTATCCACATTTTTTCACTCTTCTCAGTTTCTTCAGTTGGGTTTCTGAGATATTCTTCCAGAGCCGTGGAAAAATGAGTGTAAAAAGGAGCAAAGCGTTGTGGTTTTGAAGTTTTCGTCTTTGGCCTGGAGGCAGCTAAATGAAAACAGTGTGCTCGGCACTGAGTGGGTCAGATGGGCGGGGGAGGCTGTCACAGCCTCGGCGGGGGAGGCTGTCACAGCCGCTGCGGGGCCCTGACGGGAACGAGGATTTAACTCTGCGAATGCCTTCCAAACACAGAAGAGGAAGGAGAACCCTGCCTGGCCGCAGCTGCGTGAAATAGCGTCCCTGTCATAAGCGCCGTGGACAGTTGTGCCGCGTTTACGTCGGCTCTGTTGGCCGCGGCCTGTGGCTTGGCCCGAGCTGCCCGAGCTGCCCTGGATGGACGGAACCCTCTGTGCAAGAGGAGTGGGGGGGGGGGGTCAGGCCGGAGACCATCATCTGGACAGATGTCCCGTGTGGCTTCAGCGCTAGCCTTGGGAGCTTCCAGATCTGTTTGGGTGTTAAAAAGTAACGTGGTGTGTTAATAATTTGCAGCTTTGGGTTTTATTTAATACTTGAATAAGGCCTTGTGGTTGGAATAGGAAACGAAGGAAGGTACAGGATTTAATCCGTGCTGCCATTGTACAGACTGGAATGACAAACACCGTGTTTCCTTGAATCATCGTTAATGAGATGGATCGGCTTGTCCACATTTTGGAAATTTTTTAAAATGGTCTGTGGTTTTTTTTTTTACCCCTACATGAGGTTATGAAAGATGATGAATAACTCTTAGCTTACTGCAGAAGTCAGGAATTAGAACAGAGTTGTTTTGTTTTTTTTGTGTAAGTACGTTCAGGTTAGAAAGTGAAGTGAAACAGCTCGGCTGTGGTCCTCAGTAGACCCGTTCTTCATATCACCCAGTGTGGTCTTTTGTTTCGAATGAGAGAAAGTACTAGAAGAATTCTCCTACACTGCGCAGAATTAGGTACGCCAAAACAAAGTTCCATACAGTCTCTTACTGCCTTTCGCCTCCCGTTTTGGGCCCGCTGTATGTGTGTTCCGGACAGGCCTGAACAGACCAGAGCTTTCTAGTTTGTGGCCCGACATTTAATCTGTTCCAGACCTTTTCAGTCCGAGAGCTCGTGTGTGCTTGGGCGGGAGCAGGATGGGGAGCACGTGGGCTTCTGTCTGGAGTGACAGCAAATAGAGACGAGCTGCTCGCTGCTGCGTTTGAGGGAGCTTTCCTTGGAGTCCCGAATCCTGTAGTGGATTGTGTTTGATCTCTGCCAAAAAACTCTAAACTGTCCTTTGTAGGACCCTCTGAGCCGTGCAGACACAAACGAACGGTAGATTATTTTCATGGTGGTGAGCTTTGCTCCCCTGTATTTCCCAAATTTGTATAAAAGCGTTTGCCCGTGTTTAGCTTAGGTCACATTGATGGACGTCTTTTGGCATTTTGAAATGGAAGATAGAGCTCTGTGTAAGCTTGACGTTTTCATTTTCCTCCTCCAGGCAGCCTCTCCCATTTCCTTATCAGAGGCTTTAGGTTAATTATATATATTTAGAATAATTTATCCATCCTTCATATCCTGCAGAAAGCTGGTAAATTAGCCATATAATTTCAGGAAATAGTAATTTGTTGCGGATTGGTTTTCTTTTATCTGATTTTCTTCTTTAGCATTTTAAAAAATATATATTTTGACACTTAAATAATTTTAGAGAGTCCTTTAGTAATTTGTATGAAATCATGAAGTGTGACATCCATTGGCAGTAAGGGCTCCCTGGTATTCATTGGCTTTGAGAAAGGAGGGCTTTTGTTTGTTTTTAAAGAATCCTTTTAGGGATGTTTTGATCCTGGATTAATGAAAATTGGTGCTTGAGTGTTATGTAGGCCATTGAATTCATATGAACAACCATTTTTTCCTGCAGACTTTATATCGTAAATATAAAGAATCTGAAGTTTTAAATGTTTCCTTGTATGTTGTAGAAATACCGTTTTATGTAATAGTCCTAGGAATAATTTCTGGTAAAAGCCCTAATGAAAACACCCCAAAAAATAATTTCTGTTCTTCAGAACAAAGAATCTCCAAAACGCTAATCATGATTGAATTCCTCGTTTATGTTCTCTTACTGTCCTCACTGTCCCTGGGGAAGGACATACAAACAGTGCTTAGCGGTTGTTTCTGGAGATCAGTGCTGGTGCCGCTGAGAAAATAAACGGAAAATCATGTTTGGTGTACGTGAAATATTGGGACCAGAGATTTGGGCTAAAAAATACATCTTTTGAGTCTTAAAGAATGTAGTGGACCATCTAGTGTGGCAAAAACAGTGTCCTTTAATCGCTAGGGCTGTGTGCATTGAAGCTCTGTGTGTGGAGATGGAATTAAAGCCCAGCATTGCCCCAGACCTGACGTGTGTGTGTGTGACAGAGAAGATTCCTAAAATAATAATACGTAAGATTAAAAGAACAAAAAATACATAATTTATTAAGTCCCCAAACTAGAAGTTGTTCCCTTCTTTCTTACTCAGAGTTAAATGTTTTGAGTCAAAACCTAAAGGTCTTTATAAATTTTACTTTTCAGGTATTTGTTAACCTTTTCCTTCTAACACCAAATATTCTTGATAGCTGTTCTAAGTGAAGTGATGTTTTACTCTTGATGAAAATGTACCCAGTGACCGACTTAGTGCCTAAGTCTGTTCTGGTAGAGCTGGGAAAGCACGCCGAAGGCCGTGAGCTCTCCTGGCGGAGTCTTGGACGGAGCGTCAGCATCTAATCGTTGGAATTTTATTGACATGGGTCTCTTGATAATCATGCATTCAAAAAATAGGTATTTTTTCCTTATCCTGTTTTAAATCCTTCCTCCTGATCCTAAATTGTAAGTATTTGGTTGTGGACTGTATTACTAACTACTTAGGATAGACAGCAAACGGTAGTTCATTGTGTTTTAGGTACGAAGAGCGGTGGCTAATGACAAATTTTTAACAGATAAATCTCACAAAATTAGACTCTGGAAAGAACTTGTAATTCCTCTAACCAACATTTTTCAAATGGAGCTGGGTGGTGAGAAGTATTACGACACTGGGGGACATTGACACCCATGGCTCTTACCCCTGCAGTGCCACAGAGCCACTCAGCCACTGTGGACTCCCCGCACCAGCAACGGAGGTGGTGTTGAAAGCAGAAATGCTGGGGCAGTGGGAGGAGTGCCCCACATCGGGCTTCATCTCAGATCCTGGGAAAGTATGATCCGTCCAAGGTCACAGAGTTGAGTGACCGAACTAGAACCTGAACTCTTTTCTTTTCACACCTAGGATTTTTTGGAAGTTTAGATTGCGTGCAGTTGGATCTTACCGGAACACCCCTAATTCATTCAGCACTGATACCTGGAGGTTTCCGAGGGAAGATGACCGAGGGTGGCGCAGTGACTTGGATTATGTGGGGCCTCCCCTGGAGGACAGTTGCCGAAGGGAATGGTTTCCGTGGCAGAGGAGAAATTAGGACGTCTCTGAGTGGCGCAGACTGTGAAGCGGTCTACGTGAGTTCTCGTGCCTCATCTCTCGTGTTCTTGAGAGATTGTCCTCCAGCCTCAGTTTTGACCTTGCCCTAGACTACAGCGTAGCGGTTCGTTCTATTGAAGGAGATTTCCAATGGCCAGAAAGTACGTGTCCCTTTATTGCCTACATTTCCCTTCAGATTTGTGGCCGCGGTTCAGTCCCAGAAGCGTTCTTCTGGAGAAACCACAGGGCTCCGAGCACTCGGCGTTCTGGGATCTGAACCAGTCCGCTCCCCTGCTCCAGGGATGCCCTGCGTTTCACTAGCGCCTCTGTAATGCCCTGTGCAGTGTGTTCTGTGTGCAATCCCCGCAGAGGAAGCCTGGCGCGGCTCTGCGCGCACCCGGCATTTTACATGCCTTCCAAAACTCCGGTTTTCAAGTCTGCGAAGTGACTTGGTGTCCTCTTTCCTGTGTCTTATGTACCACGTGATGCGCTGGGTTCAAGTACAGTGTGGCAGAAAGGATTTTACCTGCTCAACTCAGAATCCAGAGACCTGAGTTTTTTCCTGAATCCCAGTCTAACCAGCTCATTCAGAAGAACACCTGACTTCTCTTGACTTAATTAAATGACACTGGAGGGCTTTTTGGAAGATGATTTCTAGTCTTAATTAATTTGATGCAGTGTCCTGGATTACGGACCAGTGCCTGCTCTGCCCCTGGCTTCCAGGTTTGAGCACACTGGGACTGGGGAACTTTTCGTTGAGTCATTTGGGGTCAG